CCCGCTCCTGCCTCGCTGCCGAGGCCAGAGGAGCAGCCCGGGGCTGCCGCCGCGGCCGTCTGCCTCCTCGGAGGCCCCTTCCAGGTGTCTGCGGGGGCCGAGCGAGGACGGGCGGCTCTGCAAAGGGGCTGCAGGCTGCGAGCGGCAGCAGCGTTCCCTTCGGCTTCGACGGCGACGAGCTTAGGCCTCCGACACTCAGGAACCGAGGGCCGTAGAGGAAAGGGGCCCCTCGAGCAGCTTCTAAACCCAGACCTGCCCCTGCTTGGCTTCCAGAGGCGTTGTCAGGACTTCAGACTGAGCCAGGCTTGTTGCGGGTTGTGCTGACGTAGGGCTGAGGCATAATCTCTCCGGCAGATTTTCAGGGCAGAGGAAGCAAGGACTACACCCGCACCCAGCGCGAGATGGTACGGGGTGTTTGCCAAAGGGTGCTCACGTGGCGATTCCCCCCCGTAGTGACAAAACCAGAGTTTTCATGGCCACAACAGATCGTTAAAAAGGGCCGTGAAAGGCCACATCCTGCTGCTACCGTTCCTTAATATATGCTGAAAATAATGGCTATGATCCACAAACTGTTTTCACATAGCCTTTATTCAACTCTCCTTAAAGGCAAAACACCGGCAAAAGTAGAAACGGCAGCGTTCCCAATACGGCCTAACGATTCCCTCCTAGAACACGGCTTAACCATTCCCTGCTGGAAGAGGGAATAAAGAGAGAAACACGACTGGGCAAAGTCAATGTAGACATTATACCGTACCCTGACGATTGGTTTACTCCCTGGAACACACTAGACAATGAGACTGTGTTTGCTCTGCTGTCACTGGCAAGCGCACAGGGTCTCTTCTCAAATGCACTGTCATTATCGCCCTGATTTTAACCAATATACTGGGAATTAATGCTCAAAAGAACACAATTTGGCAGAAACTTCCCAGGCACTAATTAGTAAAAAGGGAGCATGGGAGTGTAAACCTATCAAAACTTACACTTGTATCACAACACTTCACAAAAGATTTGCTTTGCATCTGTGTTTTACCCATCACAAACCAAATGCCGACACTACTGTTGTTCAGAGCTGTACAGGTACAAAATGCCACTCTTGAAATCCAAACCTAAAGAAACTGCAAAAAGCCAGAACTCAGCTTAGATCCTCTCTCTTACTCATTACTCTGCCGTTTACCTACTGTTCAAAATGAAATTAAAAATAGTGATCAGGAACCCTACACTATACCTGGATCTTTTCGGGAAGTTTCACTGCAGCAAAGTCATCAGGCTCAGCCGCAATCTGCCGGGAGCACAACCCGCACCGTGCATGCCCCCAATTCCAGGCCCGGCCACCACCTATGGTTCAGTTGGACGATTGTATATTTTTTTGTTTGTTTTTCTTTTAACTGGCACCACGAAAGCCCCTTTTGAGCCCAAGTCCGAAATCTCTGGCCTCACAAAACTCCGCCACACAACCTCCTCCCCAGAGGCAAACCCACGTGGCATCTCCGCAGGTTTTCCTGTCGGGAACAGCTGCCCAGGCGGAAAAAACAGGTAAATAAGCGGCAGCAACAAAAGGGCAAAGTCTGGTGGCTCCAGCTGCCGGCGTGGGGATCTCCCCAGCCGGGGGCTTCAGGCAGGGCTTCTCCCTGGCCCCGGCCCCCCTTCCCCTCACCTTTCCCTCTGCGAGATCCCAATTTGCAAACGCGGTTTAAGGTTTGGGAGCGCTTCTGCCTTTTGTCCGGGTTATAAAGGCACAGGAGGATTTTTGCTGGTCCCCCTTTATACCTAGCGGGTTTGTTGCATCTGAATCCCGACTAACATTCCCTTTTTGGGGGAGGGAAAAAAAAAAAAAAAAAAAAAGAAAGGCTTGGATCTAAAGCAGCCGCATTACTCACCACCACTTTGTCTGCTGCCGGGCTGGCGAAATGCATGCACAGAGAGACGGGCACCCGCACACGAGGTACCCGGCGCTGCCAGAGCCTCTCAGGAAAATGAAGCAATATTCATGAGCTGACCTCACTGGGCCTGGGAGACGGAAAGGGGGGGCGGGGGGGAGGGAGGGATGAAAGCAGCGAAGGGAAGAGAAGAGAAAAGATTAAACGGCAAGAACCCCGCCCAGGCCTGAAGGCTGAGTTGCGTCCCCTTATCTAGCTGCACATGGTGGAGTAGGATTACAGCGCACATGGGGGGGAAGGAGCAGGCTGCGTGCAAGGGATGCTCCCCGTTTCCCTCCCCAGTGCGTCCCGGCAATCGACTCCGACCAATTCTTCGGTGTCCCCTTCAGGGGAGCCTGCTCTGAGCAGGCAGGGATGCCGGGCGCCTTCTGCACCGGCAGCGGGACGGTGACTGGGTTTTCCTTTGTTCCCCGCCTTCGCCTGCGAGCGGGTCCTCCCCGCGTCCCTTCGACAGCAGCCCACTACCACCGGGAAGGGGAGAAACAAAGGCAAGCCGCTCTGCTCTGTTGAAGATCATCCCCTGGTGTTATTTATTCGCGTGAATACAGACGGGGACTAATGGGCCGCCGACCGTTTGCTCCCATCGCGGGCAAGCCCCGGAGCTGGTCATCTGGTTCACCTCTGTATTTTACCATGAGGTGAATTCACCTTTGCTCTGAAGCACCTTAGATGGCTCTTAAGACTTGGCGCTTGAAGTCTTTCCCAAACAGAGACAAAGAAAAGCAGGAAAAAAGGCTTTCGTTCCTTTCCTTTCCCTTCCCCTGCCCCCCGAGGAGGGAGTACTTCCACCCGATGGCTGTGCCTGGGTGTCCTGGACCCACCTGTGTCTGTGTGTCCGCAGGAACACCCGGCAAGAACAGGCTGGGGGGGGGAGCAGTGCCCGGCTTGGGGTCCTTCTTCTTCCTCCTGCAGCAGCTGGCAGGTCCAGGTGAGGTCCTGGGCTCTGCCTCAGCCCCCAAAAGTGCTTTCTCAGGGGGGTGGGGCTGGCCCGGTACCGTGCTCCAGCTGGGGGGGAGACTGGGTTTCCCGGCTGGAAATTCCTCCCCAGGGATAATTAACAGAGGATTTCCTGCCCATAGGTATACCGGCATTTACATGCGCGCATACATCCATGTACAGAATATATACACACAAATGCACTGTGCATACGTACATGTGAACACGCGTATAAAATATACAACTATATGCATGTTTTTATATATTGTATGTACATATATATACGTATCTGTGAGGTCCTTGTGCAGCCCTTGGGGGAAGGCAAGCTCAGGGGAGACCAGCTGCCCCCACCCCACAGTCCTCTCCACCTCTTCTGAAACTGCAAGCAGGACCCAACACATCTGAAACAGCATATCCTGGGATGTGGGAAGGTACCCCCCCATGCAGACACATGTCCTCCAGCCTTGAGCCCAGGGACTGTGTGAACTGGATATATATAGATGTGATGAGTTGAGGCCAATTAGAAAATAAGAAATGGAACATTTATGCTGAAGAAGAAAAAAACACTGGGATGATGAAAAGCTACTTTTAAAATTCATAATATTTAATGATTTCTTAGGCCTTTGAAACTCATAAATATTGTTTGCAGTCATACCAACTGAACAGAATAATTGGTTGAAAACACGAGGAATGACAATACAAAATATTTCTGGAGGTGGAGCTGGGAAATTTTCCAGTGAAAGTGGTGGATAGATTCTGCTGGAAGAACACCTAGGCTCCTTGGCCCAATGAATATGCAGAATAGCAGTGATGAGGTCATTACAATAACATAACATTTTGTCTACACAATATGCTCCAGAAGGACAAGCACAGCAGTCCCTTCCTTTAAGCACCAGACAGCAGTTAGCATCCTTTCTGCTCCCTCGGTGGATGAGATCCCTGGATGGACTTTCCCCAGCAAAAAAAAAATGGGATGTGATGACATCTCATACCACCTACAACAAGTTTTATTATTTATTGTGCATTTGGAAAAATAGAGATCCTTATTTTCTCACAGTAGTGTCCAAATGAAAA